GGGACCGCCAGGCTTTGGTGGCGTCCCCCAAAAGGGGATGAGGGGTTGGATCCGCTGGGGGAGAGGAAGAGCAGTGGGCTGGCACAGAGGAGCTCCCAGAGGGGCTGCCGAGTGCTACCGGGATTTTACTCCCTATTTAATTACAATTTTGTCAAATAAAAAGAAAAAAAAAGGGGGATAAAGAGATCCCTCTCGTCTCTTTGTGCCGGTTCCCAGCAGCCTGTTAATTAAACAGCGGCTGCCGAAGCCGCCGGTCCCGGAGGACCCCGGCCGAGCTGGGGCTGGGCATCACACCTGGGCTCCAGTTGCTCCCAGTTCGGCCCAGTCCGGGCCGCTGGCGGCGCGGCTGTGGCTGTGGCGGTGTCGTGCCGATGCGCCGTGCCTAATCCTCACTCCTCCCGTGTAATCCCGCCCGCCGGGATAATCCCATCAAACCCGGCAGCGCCGCGCTCAGCGCCGCGTTTGGCGCCGGGGGGATCCGGGAGGGACACGGGAGGGACACGGGGGGGACACGGGGGGGGACACGGTGGCCCCGGGAGAGCGGCGGCAGCGGGAGGGACCGTGGGGGTTGCGGGAGCCTGCGGAGGGCTCGGGTGGGGAAACTGAGGCACGGAGCAGGGCCCAGGAGCAGAGGGAGGCAGCGCTGGGATCAGCCCCAGGGTGATGGAACAGGGCGGGAGGGGACGAGCCAGCGGTGGCAGCACCCGCGGGTCACCCGAGAGATGGAGCCGGGGTGGCACAGAGGGATCCTGGCTGGCGTGGTGGGAACGCCGCAGCATTCCTGAGCTGCCCATCCATCGCCTCCCGCCGGCAGCGCTGGGACACAGCCCCGGGGACCGGGAAGGGTCGGGGAGGAGGTCTGGGAGCTGGGATCCAGCCCCGGGGACCGGGAAGGGTCGGGGTGGAGGTCTGGGAGCTGGGAGCTGGATCCGTCCTCGCCCTGTGCCCAAAATAACCCGGCCCCGCTGTGCCCCGTCCCTGTCCCTGTGACAACCCTGTGTGCACAGCCCTGGTCACACGGGGGACAGCCGTGAACACACCTGCACACGTGTGACAGCCATGAACACACGTGTGACAGCCCATTCACACCTGCACATGTGTGATGTGACAGCCATGAACACACGTGTGACAGCCATGAACACACCTGCACACGTGTGAGAGCCATGAACACACATATGACAGCCATGAACTCACCTGCACACGTGTGACACCCCCTGCACACCTGCACACGTGTGACACCACGCACAGACACACAGGTGCCCGCACACGGTCACACACAGGTGCCAGCTGGTGCCCACATTCCTGCACATGTGTGTCACCGGTGCCTCCTGCCAGCTCTGCACACGCACACGACACCTGGTGCACACACGCTGTGAGCGACATGTGACACGTGTGACACCTGCTGTACACACCGACACCTGCACACACACACACACACACACACACACACACACACACGACACACGGTGACACCCCCCGCACACACGTGACACCCCGTGCCCACCCCCCACGCACAGATGGCACCTGGCACACCTGGCAGGGCCGGCAGGGGACAGGGACACCGGCCTGCCCCGAGGCTTTTGGGAGGCTGAGGAGCTGCGCCGGTGGTGGCGGCGGTGGGGTGACAGTGACAGTGGCGGTGGCAGCGGTGGCAGCGGTGGCCTGGCGGGTGCCGCGGGCAGTGCCGGGAGAGCGAGGAGCAGCTCCGAGGCCGCTCGGACCTTCCGGCAGCGCGGAGGCGGCGCAGGGAACAATGGCCCTTTGTTCTGCGCCGCTGGCATGCACAGCCCGGCCTGCAGCCCGGCCTGCATCCTGCATCCATCCTGCATCCAATCCTGCATCCTGCATCCTATCCTGCATCCTATCCTGCATCCTGCATCCATCCTGCATCCAATCCTGCATCCTGTATCCCATCCTGCATCCATCCTGCAACACCTGCTGTACACACCGACACCTGCACACACACACACACACACACACACGACACACGGTGACACCCCCCGCACACACGTGACACCCCGTGCCCACCCCCCACGCACAGATGGCACCTGGCACACCTGGCAGGGCCGGCAGGGGACAGGGACACCGGCCTGCCCCGAGGCTTTTGGGAGGCTGAGGAGCTGCGCCGGTGGTGGCGGCGGTGGGGTGACAGTGACAGTGGCGGTGGCAGCGGTGGCAGCGGTGGCCTGGCGGGTGCCGCGGGCAGTGCCGGGAGAGCGAGGAGCAGCTCCGAGGCCGCTCGGACCTTCCGGCAGCGCGGAGGCGGCGCAGGGAACAATGGCCCTTTGTTCTGCGCCGCTGGCATGCACAGCCCGGCCTGCAGCCCGGCCTGCATCCTGCATCCATCCTGCATCCAATCCTGCATCCTGCATCCTATCCTGCATCCCACCCTGCATCCAATCCTGCATCCTGCATCCATCCTGCATCCCATCCTGCATCCTGCATCCCATCCTGCATCCATCCTGCATCCCATCCTGCATCCTGCATCCCATCCTGCATCCATCCTGCATCCCATCCTGCATCCCGCATCCCACAGCCCGGCCTGCATCCCATCCTGCATCCCATCCTGCATCCTGCATCCCATCCTGCATCCATCCTGCATCCCATCCTGCATCCTGCATCCCACAGCCCGGCCTGCATCCCAGCCCACATCCCATCCTCCCTCCTCCATCCCATCCTCCACTCTGCCTCCCAGCCCACATCCTCCTGCACATCCCACATCCCCATCTCCATCTGCACATCCCCTGCCCACCCTGCATCCTCATCCTCTCCCCCTGCCCACCCTGCATCCTCATCCTCTCCCCCTGCCCACCCTGCATCCTCTCCTCTCCCCCTGCCCACCCTGCATCCTCTCCTCCCCCTCCCACACTCCCCTCCATCCCTGGCACTCCCGGTGCCCATCCTGGCAGGATGGAGAGGATGGGAAGGAGGAGGAGGAGGAGGCCGCAGGGTGAAGGCTCACGTGCTCTCACCCACACCTTGGCACCGGAAACCACTTGTCACTTTGTCACCCTCTGGGCACACGGGCAGTGGCAGGAGGAGATTTGCTGGGGGTGGCCGTGTCTCCTGTCCCCTCTGGTGTCCCCATCCCCGGGTGTCCCTGGCAGGTGGGTGGCTCCAGGTGGGCACCCTGAGTGCCACCTCCAGGGACATCATCACAGGGATGCTGGGGATGGTGATGCCACTGCGGTGACACTGAGGTGACACTGAGGTGACATTGAGGTGACCTGCCACCCTCAGCCCCTCCCTGCCCATTGAACCCAGGAGATATTTATATTTAACCTCATTTAAATACAAGGAGGAGTTCAAAGATAATCCTGATGGGAAGTGCTGGCTCTGGGCCTGGAGGGTGGAACAGCCCCACTGTCCCCAGCAGAGCTGACACCGGCAAGGGGGACCTGAATGCCAACAAAGCCCCAAAAGCAACAGCCCAACTTTATCAGGGCTAAAAACTGACCTGGCTGCGGGGCTGACCCTCGCTCCCGACCCCCCGGGGCCTCCTCCAGCTGGCCTGGCTCTGGGATCGGGGGGCTGTGGTTGCAGGGCTGCTCTCTGAGGGTTGGGGTGGTTTGGGGTGGGTTTGGGGTGCCTGTGGGTGGGTTTGGGTGCCTGTGGGTGGGGTGGGTGTGTTCGGCAGCCTCCCATCCCGGGAATGCCGGGCTGGAATTGCAGGTTCCGGCCGGAGCAGGGTGTCAACACCGCCGTTGTTGTTGTAGGGTCTCCAGGGGCCGCTCCCGGAGCTGCTGTCCCTCTGCTGCTCGGGGACACGGATCCCCTGGGGACACGGATCCGCCGGGAAGGGGACACTGGGGAAGGGGCTCCTCGGGACTGGGATGCCCTGGGGACGGGGGGTCCATGAGGAGGTGACAGGAACCCTGGGGACAAGGATGGGCCAGCCGCGGTGCACGGGGAGGTGACACCCCGGGACCGGCACGGTTTGGGTGGGGGTGCCAGGGCGGTGCCGGGCTCGGGGCAGGAACTGGGGGTTCCCTCTTCCCTGCCCGAAGGGGAACTGAGGCACGAGGCCGGAGGAGGTGACTCGGAGCAGCCGGATCTGCTCCTGTCACCGCCCTGGGGCCATGCGGGTGCCAAAGAGGGGTGACAGGGTGACATCGAGGGGACCCCGGCAGGGCACAGAGCCCCTGGGGTGGCGCAGGACGAGGGGGGTGAGTGCCTTTGGGGACAACTGGGGCTTTGGGGACAAGGGGGATGAGGGGAATGGCTGTTTTGGAGGGGCAGGATTTAGGGACAAGGGGGGGTGACAGTCTTTGGGGGGACAGCAGGGACAGGGGGGGATGTGTGCCATAGGGACAAGTGGCTTGGGGAGACCAGCAGGACGGGAGGACCCGGGGGGGGGACAAGGGGACAAAGGCTGTGAGCTGGGGGGACAGCAGGGGACAAGGGCTGTGAATTGAGGGGGGGGACATAGCGCTCCGTCTGCCACCCCCTCTGTCCCCCCCCTCCCGGGTTTTATTTCGGCGTGACGCGCGATCCTCCTCGCTAGGAAACCGTTCTTAATATGCAGATGAGCCTGGATTTAATATGCAAATCACCATGCGGCTCTGGCCGGCCACCAGCACCGGCGGCGTGCCGGAGGGGACGTGTCGGGGCACCCATGGGTGGCACCCGGGGGCACCCCCAGCAACTGGGGCCACCTCTGGGCACCCACGGTGGGTGACAAAGCCACCCAAGGTGACCGCGGGGTCCCCACCACCCCCGGTGCCCGTGTCGGGGTCGCTGCGGTGTCCTGGGGGGCTCGGACTCCTGTGTCCCCACCCGGTGGGCGATGGGGAGGGGACAGGGAAAAGGGACGAGGGACAGGGACCGGGGCTATAAACGGCAGCTGTAAACGGAGCCGGTAACCGGAGCGGGAGGCCCGGGGGGACATTTGAGCCGCCGGCGGGGCCGTGGAAGCGCCAAGGTAAATGGTGGCTGCTGTGTCCCCCCCCCGCCGCGCCGGTGACCCCCCATCCCTGTCACCACGCGGGGACCCCTCCGGTGCTGGGGTTCCCCCGTTCTCTGGGCCACGCGCAGCTCTGGGGGGGCTGCCGGCGCCCCCCGGGAGCTCGGGAAGGGGGGGACCGGCGGCAGGGACAGGGACAGGGACACGGCCAGCGAGCCGTGCCAGGTGGCCGGGGTGACATTTGCTCCGTCCCTGCCGTGGGGACAGCTGCTTCCTGGCTCTGCCATCTGAACCGGCCCCGGAACGGAAACCCGGGGGGGGGGGGCTCAGCCCCCCCAGCCCCGGCGGCAGCAGCTGGGGTTGGGGGGGCCGTGGCACTTGGGGGGGCACTGCTGGTGACCCCCCAAACCCTCTGTGGCAATGGGGGTGGCGCTGGGTGACCCCACTGAGCAAGAACCGGGGGCCACATTTTGGGGGACTGGAGCATGTGGGGGGGGGGGTGGGGTGTAAAGGCCTCATTAGCATGTCTAATTACTGATTTCTTTTTGATGTGGGGCGCCTTCTGAACGAAAAAAAACCCAAAATCCGGCATGAGACCGATGGGGGGGGACGCGGATATCGGGATTGTGCCGGGGAGGGGAGTCCCAAAAAGTCGCATTTTCAGGGATTTCGTTGTTGGTGTCCCCTGCCTTTGCCACCCCCACCCCTGTGTGTCCCCCCCTTCCCAATGTCCCCCCATTCTCCAGTGTCCCCGCTCAGTGTCCCCCCCTTTCCCAGGGCGTGTCCCCCTTCCCTGCTGTCCCTCCCTTCTTGATGTCCCCCCCATTCCCGGTGTGTTCCCCCCCCCTCCCCGTGCCCCCCTCTTTCCTCCTAAGGGCTTTACGAGGCTGGGGGGCCCGGGGGGGACTGTCCCCCTGTCCCCGCTGTCCCCCTGTCCCCACTCTGTGTCCGGGGGGGGGTCTCACCGGTGGCTTTCCCGTGGGGTGCCGCTCGGGGGGTCCCAGGGGTGCCCCCCCCGGGTCCCCGGCTGCGGTGACAGCTGCCGGGGTGGGGGGGGTTGGTGGCTCCGGTTACGGTGACATCAGCCCTACCTTCCCACCTGGCGCGGGCGGGGGGCACGGGCCCCCTCCCCCGGGGGTCGCGGGGGGTTTGACGTGACAGCTGAGCCCCCAGCGCCGCCGGGGCGTCCCCGAGGGGGGGGTGGCACCCCCGGGCACGGGACCCGCGCGTGCGGGACCCCCCTGGCAGCGGAGGGGACAGCGGTGACACAGGGCAGCGGCGGAGGCGGCCGGAGCAGCTCAGGTGGGCAGAGCGCAGCGCTGGGGGGGGGCAGATGGCAGGGGAAGGGCTCCCCCCCCCCGGGGAGGGGGGGCAGAGTGCCCCCCCCCCCGGCAGGGACACCCCTCGGTGGGATCAGCTGTCCCGCTGTGCTCAGAGCCGCTGGGATCGCAGCAAGAGGGGGAGCCCCGGGGCTGCCCCCCGCTCCTGCCCAATTCCCCGGTGCCGGGGGTCGCGGAGATGCTGGGGGAGGGGGGAGTCAAGCAGCTCCCCCCGCCCCCCAAAGCTTTGTGTGTCGGGGTGAGGGCTGAGCGTGCTCTGCGGTGGGGAAACTGAGGCACGGAGCAGGGACAGGGACGAGGGACACGCCCGAAGCTGCTCGCCCGCTCCGTGTCGGAGATACCCGAGTGGAGACCCCCCCTCACCCCCGGCACACCCCCCTGTCCCCCCGCCGTGCCCCCTCCTCCCCGCGCCCCCCTCTTCCCGCTGCCTTTTCTTTTCCCGCACAATCGCTGGCATTTATGGCGCCGGAGGCTCCGCTTACCCCGCGCCCGCTCGCTGTCACCGCCAGGCTGGGGACGGTGACACCGGAGCCCCGCTCGGGGTTCCAGGAGCCCGAGGCTGCCCCACGGCCCCCCCGGCCCCCGAGCCCCCCGGCACGGCCGGATTCTCAGCGGCCGATGGACCCCCAGCCCTGGGGTGGCTTTTTGGGGTCCCCCTCCCTCTCTGCCTCTGTCCCTTGGTGGCTTTCGGGTGCCGCTGTGTGACAAAGCGGGCAGGAACAGCTCATTTCCCGTTTGTTGGGGACACGGTGGGGACAGCTGGGCGTCTCTGGGAGCTGTGGCACTGTGGGGACAGGTTTGGATGTCCCTGAGATGGTGGGGACGTGGTTTAGTGTCCCAGGGGTGGTGACACCCCGAGGACGGGGTCACATGTCCCCAGGGGCTGTGACACCAGGGTCGGGTCCCGCTGGGGTCACCTCCTGCCCAGGGGCTGTGACACGGGAAGGGGACGGGGCTGGGGACAGCGGCGGGTCTCACGCGGGGCCGGTGACACCGCGGAGGGGCTGGGGACGCGCCCCCCCGCTGGCACCGCCCGGCCCCGCACAATGTCACCATCCCTGTCCCCGCGGGGGCGGAGGGCGCCGCTTCGATCGCTCCGGCTCCCATGGAATTAATGATCAATTAATTCCCTGCCCGGCTGCTAATTACCCAGCCCGGCCCCTCGGGGACGAGCCACAGGCTGGGGACGGTGGCCCAGCGTGGTGAGGGGACAGTGGCGGTGGCACTGGGGCTGTCTGGGTGGGGGGTGCTGTGACACTCTGAAGTGTCCCTGGAGATTTTCCAAGACACCCCGGTGGCGTTTTGGGAGGGGGCAGAGCCTCTCTGGCTCCCCTCTTGTCCCCATGTCCCCTCGTGTCTCTGTCCGTGTGTCCTCATCCTCCTGTCCCCGTGTCCCCATGCCACCAACAGCGCCTTCCCCTGTGACAAACCACCGGCATGGCCCCAATGCCCGGCGACACCTGAGGCTTTGGGGTGCTCCGGGGGGGGTTCCCGGTGCGTGCTGCCCCTGCCAGCCCTGCCCGTGCCCGCAGGTGCGGTGGGTGCCCAGCCGGGCCCGGGGCCACCATGGCACCGCCACCCCGCGTCCCCCTGCTGCTGCTGCTGCTGCTGGCGGCCGAGAGGACGGCGAGGGGCACCTTCCCCGAGGAGCCCGGCCCCATCGCCGTGGCCCCCCCGGACTGTGAGTGCCCACCCGGGGCTGGGGGGGTCGGGGCGCTGCCCCGGGGCACGGGGGGTACGGTTGGCACGGAAAGGGAAGGGGGGTTGGGGGCGTTGGGGTGAAGGGAGAAGGGGGCACGCAGGGGAGGGTTTGGGGTAGGATAGGGCGGGACCACACATGGGCAGGGCTGGGCTCTGGGTTACTTTTGGGGGTACCTCTGGAAGGAGTTTTGGGGTTTTGGGGTGCTTTGGGGTCAAGGCAGGTGGGGGGGGCACCCACGGGGTGGGATTTTGGGCTGATGGCAGGAGGGAGGGCAGCCGTGTGACCCCCGTGCCCCCCCAGATGTGAAGCACTACCCCGTGTTCGTGGGGCACGGCACCGCCCGGCCGGGGGGGCCCGAGGGGGGGGGCAGCCAGCGCCTCAACATCCAGCGCATCCTCAAGGTCAACAGGACCCTCTTCATCGGGGACAGGTCTGCACCCCCTGCCCCGGGGTGGGCACCCCACACCCGCCCCACTCCTCTTTGCTGGGGAGGGCCCCACTGCCTGCCCGGGCACCCCAAATCTGCCAGGGGGCACTGAGGGGGGCACTGGCACCAGCACTGCCCTGGTGAGGTTCATTGTCCACCCCAGCACCCCAAACCTTCCCGGGGGGGGGGTGTGGGGGTGGATCCTGTACCCCCAGCGCTGGGGGGCACATCCCAGCGGGGGGGTGGTGACACCCGTGTCCCCCTCCCCAGGGACAATGTCTATCGGGTCAGCCTGGAGCCCAGCGGGGCCGCTGAGATGCGCTACCACCGGGTAAGTGCTGGGGGTGCCAGGGGTGCTGGGGGGTTCCGGGGGTCCCAGGGGTGCTGGGGGGTCTCAGGAAGCTCTGGGAGGCCTCGGGGGGGGTCTCACTGGGGTGCTGTTGGCTTGTCCCTGTCCCCACACTGGTTTTTCCCCCCCAGAAACTGACGTGGCGCTCGAACCAGCACGACATCAGCATCTGCCGGATGAAGGGCAAGCACGAGGTACAGCCTGCGGGATCTGCCCCCCGTGGGCACCCCCAGCACCCTCTGTGGCCGTGTCACACCTGTCCCCTCCCCGGTGTCACCGCCCCACTCCCTCCCAGCGGTTGTATCAGTGATTTATTGGCCGCTCGGCTGAATTGATTTGTAATTAATTATTGGGGGCCAGAATCCCATTCCCGGCTCCCGTAAGTGCAGTTTTGGGGTGAGAACAGCCCCCCCAAGCCATCCCCTGGCAGTGATGAGAGCCTGGGTGGGCAGGGATGAGGTGAGGGGGGTTTTGGGGTGCTGAGGGTGACTGTCCCCTCTCCCGGCACAGGCAGAGTGCCGAAATTTCATCAAGGTGCTGCTGGTGAGGAACGAGAGCCTCCTCTTCGTCTGTGGCACCAACGCCTTCAACCCCGTCTGCGCCAACTACAGCGTGAGCCCCCGGGGTGGGACCCCTGTGGGAGGGGGCTTGGGGTCAGGGGAGGAGGGGACACCATGGGAAGGGTTGGGGGTCAGGGGAGGAGGGGACACCATGGGAAGGGTTTGGGGTGAAGACAGGAGGGGACACCATGGGAAGGGTTTTGGGGTAAGGGGAGGAGGGGACACCATGGGAAGGGTTTTGGGGTGAAGGCAGAAAGGGGCACCTGTGGGAAGGGTCTGCAGCACCAACACCTTCAGCCCTGTCTGTGCCAACTGCAGCCAGAGCCCCGCTCAGGATGGGGACCCCGGTGCCCCCCGTGCCCGGGTGTGGCCTCACGTCCCCTGTCACCCGCTCTAGATGGACACGCTGGAGCCCATCGGGGACAACATCAGCGGCATGGCCCGCTGTCCCTACGACCCCAAGCACGCCAACGTGGCCCTGTTCACAGGTCAGTGGTGGCACTGCCAGTGTCACAGCGGGCACCGTGTCCCCAGCCCCGCTGACACCTTGTCCCGTGCAGGGGGGATGCTCTTCACCGCCACGGTGACGGATTTCCTGGCCATCGACGCCGTCATCTACCGCAGCCTCGGGGACAGCCCGACCCTGCGCACCGTCAAACACGACTCCAAGTGGTTCAAAGGTGTGTCCCCACCCTGGGCTGTGCCAGGACATGGCACGTGTCCCCTGTGACCCCACCCCGGGCCATCCCTGACCCCGCTGTCCCCGCAGAGCCCTACTTCGTGCACGCTGTGGAATGGAGGAGCCACGTCTACTTCTTCTTCCGCGAGATCGCCATGGAGTTCAACTACCTGGAGAAGGTGGGACACATTCCAGAACTTTATCACCCTTCCTGTAAAAATCTTCTTCTAATGTCCAACCTACATTTCCCTTGACACTGGATGATCCCACAGCTCCCTTCCAACCCAAACCATTCTGGGATGCCCACAGGGGCACCCAGGGTGGGGACAGGGACACAGGGATGGCCATTTTGGGTGGTGACAGGTGTCCTCCCTGCAGGTGGTGGTGTCACGGGTGGCCCGGGTGTGCAAGAACGACATGGGGGGCTCGCAGCGGGTGCTGGAGAAGCAGTGGACGTCCTTCCTCAAGGCCCGGCTCAACTGCTCCGTGCCGGGCGATTCCCACTTCTACTTCAACGTCATCCAAGCCGTGACGGACATCCTGGAGCTGGACGGGCGCCCCGTGGTCCTGGCCGTGTTCTCCACGCCCACCAACAGGTCAGAGCCTCGTGTGCCCTGCCCAGGCTGCCCGGGCTCAGCGGGATCCGAGCCGGGTGCCAGCTGGGATCTGGCTGGAATCCGAGCTGGATCCTGAGTGGGATCTGGGATGGGGTCTGGGATGGGTCCAGTGGGTCCTGGACGGGAAATGGGGGGGATTCATTTCCGTTTGGGACCTGCAGGGCCCCTCGCACTCCCTGGGGCCTCCCCTGCTCACCCCTGAGCTGTGTCCCCGCAGCATCCCCGGCTCCGCCGTCTGCGCCTTCGACATGACCCAGGTGGCCGCCGTCTTCGAGGGACGGTTCCGGGAGCAGAAGTCACCCGAGTCCATCTGGACACCTGTGCCGGAGGACATGGTGCCAAAGCCACGGTGAGGGACAGCGAGGGGGACAGAGCTGGCAAGGACTGTTAGTGGCAGGGACAGCGGTGGGACTGGGGAAAGGAACAGGGCTGGGGACAGGGACAGTGGCAGCCACGGCCTGTACCCGCTGGGAAGGGACAGGGATGGGGACAGGGATGGGGACAGGGGTGATGATAACCACGGCCAGTACCAGCGGGGCTGGGGACAGGCTGGGGACAGCCCCACTGAGCTGTGCCGCGGCCGCAGGCCCGGGTGCTGCGCGTCCCCGGGGATGCGCTACAACTCCTCCAGCGCCTTCCCCGACGAGATCCTCAACTTCGTCAAGACGCATCCGCTGATGGACGAGGCGGTGCCGGCCCTGGGCAACGCCCCCTGGATCCTCCGCACCATGACCCGGTGGGTGTCCGGGGGGCTTGGGGACACTGGGGGGCACTGGGAGGGCTGGAAGGGGCTGGGAGGTGCTGGCCAGAGCTCCCTGTGCTGCCTTTCCACTTGTGCCAGCACTGGGAGTGCTGGGAGAGCTGATAAATCTCATACACTTTGCAGTCAAGATTGTCTCGTCCTAATTAAATCTGCCTTAATTGCTGCTTGATGGGGAATTAATCAAGCCGTGCTCTTGGGCCGCAGCCTCCCGCCGGCAGGGCAGCTGGGGCGTGAGCAGGGATGGGGACAGGGACAGGAATGGGGACAGGGATGTGGAATGGGGTCAGGGACAGGAATGGGGACAGGGACAGGAATGGGGACAGGGACCTGGGGATGGAGGGAGGGAATGGGGATAGGGATGTGGGGCTGGAGCTGGGGACACAGGGCTGGGGATGGGGACGTGGAGATGGGGATGGGGATGTGGGGCTGGGTGCCTCACCCTTTCCCCTCCCTGGGGACCCCTGGATTCCCCCACACCCCAACCCTGCTCCCTCCCCCACGCAGGTACCAGCTCCGTAAGATCGTGGTGGACAACGCAGCGGGGCCGTGGGGCAACCACACCGTGGTGTTCCTGGGCTCCAGCACCGGCACCGTGCTCAAGTTCCTCATCCTGCCCAACGCCACCAGCAGCCCCGCGCCCGCCGCCCCCGGCAGCCAGAGCGTCTTCCTGGAGGAGTTTGAGACCTACCAGCCCGGGAGGTGAGTGCCAGCGTGCCAGGGGAAGGAGAGGGGGCAGAAAAAGGGGTGGGTGGATGGATGGATGGATGGATGGATGGATGGATGGATGGATGGATGGATGGATGGATGGATGGATGGATGGATGGATGGATGGATGGATGGATGGATGGATGGATGGATGGATGGATGGATGGATGATGGATGGATGGATGGATGGATGGATGGATGTTCATGCTGGGAGGGTGTGAGTGGGGGTGTGTGCCTCCTAACACTTGTGCAAAGCCAGGGTGAATCACAAGTGCCCTTTTATCCCACCAGGAGGACAGGATAGCAGGGCACTTCTGTGCCCACCTCTGTTACTAGATGCTGCCCAGCATTGGGACTGCAGCCTTGGCATTGCTGATCCCCCCCAAGAGAGAGCTCAGGCTTGTGGTTGCTGCGCTGTTCTAAAGGCACTGGCTCTTGGCCACTGTTCAGGTGAGTGTCCAATGTGTCCTTGTAATTCAGCAAAGCCCTTTCCACCTCTCCTGGCCAAAAATCATGACAAACGCTTTCTGACAACACACTGCAAATTCTCCTTTCTTGAGTAGCTATTTTTCCTGCTAGCTCAGAGCCTGAAATATTTTATCCATTCTGCAGGTAATAAGTTAACCCATTGTAAGCACAGTGTCAATACCAAATGCGAGTATCCATGGAGAAATAGAGAAATCCAGCCCTTCATGGATAGTAAATTTTTCATAGTCGCTAGGTTGAGTGTTGCTGCGACTTACTGTGGCACAAATTAGGAGCTTTTCTGAAGTTAGTGATGCTCCAACATTGGTGAAACAAGTCTTGAAGACCTTGGTAAAAGTACTGCTGCTGCAGGGATTTCAGGTTATTAGTTTTACTTGTAACGAAAAAGTTAATGATCCACTTACTGTATGGACTTACAACTGTATGGACACACAAGGAACAGGGTTAGGCTCTGAAAAAATGAACAAATTATTATACTGGGAGGTAAAGCATTTTCAAATAAACAGAATTTTTTGATCTCCTCACCAAAAAAAGTTTGAAGATCACCAGCCAAAGGGCTTCTCTAAAAACAAGGAGTGCTTTTTGAAATCCAGCAAGTTGTATGCAAAGAGAGAAATGATTGCTGCAAAACTAGTTGTTTCCAATTATAAAACCCAAACAACTCGGAATGTACAGGGGCTTTCATGTAATTCTCTTCTAAAGGGCCTTCAAAGAAGAGCTTTGCTTCAGGACCCTTGCCAGGAGGAGCTCTGCAAGGGGCTGGAATTTCAGTGAGGAATGGCATACTGCGGCACAGCAGCAGCGCATCTGTTGTGAATAGCAGCTGCTGCACAGCACTGAGCATTGTGCACAGTCTCACTATTTACAGACAATCTTTTGTATGCTATCTGTTTGCTGGAGCCACCAGTGAAACTATTGCGTGAGTTCTTCTCAGTAGAATCATCATGTATGTTTCAGGTACTTGTTTTAAAGTAGTATAGTTAGACAAAGGTATTAAAATATCTCAGAGTTCTTGAAGTGTTGACCAGTCAAGATTGTCTCGTCCTAATTAAATCTGCCTTAATTGCTGCTTGATGGGGAATTAATCAAGCCGTGCTCTTGGGCCGCAGCCTCCCGCCGGCAGGGCAGCTGGGGCGTGAGCAGGGATGGGGACAGGGACAGGAATGGGGACAGGGATGTGGAATGGGGTCAGGGACAGGAATGGGGACAGGGACAGGAATGGGGACAGGGACCTGGGGATGGAGGGAGGGAATGGGGATAGGGATGTGGGGCTGGAGCTGGGGACACAGGGCTGGGGATGGGGACGTGGAGATGGGGATGGGGATGTGGGGCTGGGTGCCTCACCCTTTCCCCTCCCTGGGGACCCCTGGATTCCCCCACACCCCAACCCTGCTCCCTCCCCCACGCAGGTACCAGCTCCGTAAGATCGTGGTGGACAACGCAGCGGGGCCGTGGGGCAACCACACCGTGGTGTTCCTGGGCTCCAGCACCGGCACCGTGCTCAAGTTCCTCATCCTGCCCAACGCCACCAGCAGCCCCGCGCCCGCCGCCCCCGGCAGCCAGAGCGTCTTCCTGGAGGAGTTTGAGACCTACCAGCCCGGGAGGTGAGTGCCAGCGTGCCAGGGGAAGGAGAGGGGGCAGAAAAAGGGGTGGGTGGATGGATGGATGGATGGATGGATGGATGGATGGATGGATGGATGATGGATGGATGGATGGATGGATGGATGGATGGATGATGGATGGATGGATGGATGGATGATGGATGGATGGATGGAGGGATGGATGGATGGATGGATGGATGGATGGATGGATGATGGATGGATGGATGGATGGATGATGGATGGATGGATGGATGGATGGATGAGAGGAATGCAAGGCTGGGGGGAATGGATGAGAGAATCTCCTCTGGAGTGGGCCAGGCTCTGTGGAGGGCCCTGTGGCCCAGGGCTGGGGCTTTGATGAGCTCTGCCCTGTCCCCAGGTGTGGCCGGGACACGGAGGACGAGCGGCGGCTCCTGGGGCTGGAGCTGGACAAGGCTGCGGGGTCCCTGCTGCTGGCCTTCCCCCCGTGCGTGGCCAGGGTGCCCGTGGCTCGCTGCCAGCAGCACTCGGGCTGCATGAAGTGAGTGCCTGGGGCTGGGCAGGGCTCGCCGGTGGGGGCTCACATCACCTCACATCCCAGGAATTCCCCCTGTGCTGGACAGGGCTCTGCACGGCTGGGAGCATGGCTGGGGAAACTGAGGCACAGCACGGGGCGGGGACAGAGTCCCTTGCGGGGGCCGGGGTGTTGTGTGCCCCCATCGGGGCTGACCCTGACGTCTCTGCTCCCTGCCAGGAACTGCCTCGGGAGCCGGGATCCCTACTGTGGCTGGACAGCCGAGGGCTCCTGCATCTTCCTGGAGCCCAGCCCCAGGTAACGCTGCCAGGCCTGGGGACATGCAGGGGACAGCGGTGTCCCCAGAGAGCCCCGGCTCCTGCAGCCCCAACTGCTGAGCCCCGGCAAACTCACTGCTGGCTGACGGGGACTGGGAGACTCTGCCAGGCCATTTGGCACCCACTGACCCCCCAATTTGTACCCCAGGGCGGCCTTCGAGCAGGACATCGCCGGCGGCAGCACATCCCACCTGGGCGAGTGCGAGGGTGAGTGCGGGGCCGGGACCAGGCTCGGGGACGTGGTGGCGGCACCCGCAGGTGCCCTGACGCCTCCCCAACCCCAGGGCTGGTGACGGAGAGCTTCGTGGACGAGCCGGACGGGCTGGTGTCGGTGAACCTCCTGGTGATCTCCTCCGTCGCCGCCTTCGTCATCGGCGCCGTGATCTCCGGTTTCAGCGTGTGCTGGTTCATCGGGCACCGGGACCGCAAGGAGCTGGCGCGGCGCAAGGACAAGGAGACGATCCTGGCGCACAGTGAGTCGGTGGTGAGCGTCAGCCGCCTGGGCGAGCGGCGGGCTCGCGGCGCCTTGCTGGCCCCGCTGATGCCCAACGGGTGGCCCAAGGAGCTGGCCAAGGTCACCCAACACGACCTGGACTCGGGGGTGCTGCCCACGCCGGAGCAGACCCCGCTGCAGCAGAAACGCTGCCCCGGAGCCCTCCAAAACTGCACCTGGGAGCAGAGTCACAACATCATCAACGCGGCTTTGCGGGACCCTGGCGGCTCCGGCCCCGCGGGCGCCGGGCGGGGGCACGGCGGCTCCGGCCGCCCGCCGCGGGGCATCCCCCTCTCCTGCCACGCCATCTTGGTGGACCAGGAGCTGGAGGCCGAACTCAGCGACTCCTCAGGGGACGGGCATTGGGCTCGAGACCCCCAGGAGGGTCCCCGCACCCGGCAGCACCCACCCGCCGGCGCCCGCCGCCCGCCCCGCAGCTCCTACGGCGACTTCGGGGGGACGCCGCACCCCAGCCCCGAGCGCCGGCGGGTGGTCTCGGCGCCCAGCGGGGAGGGGGGAGACTTTACCGAGGGGCCGCCCTGGCACCCCGAGCAGCTGAACTTCAACGCCAACAACGGCACGGGCCGCCCCGGCGCCCACCTCAAGAGGAACCACACGTTCAACAGCGGCGAGGCGGCGGCGGGCGGCTACGGGCGGCACGGGACGGCGGCCCGGGCAGCGCGGGCACCGGGCACCCCGCGGCCGCTCACGGACCTGCAGCACCTCCTGCGCTACGGCGTGGAGCGGACTCCCTCGGGAAAATAGGGTCCCACCCTGTGTGCGTCCCCCTCGCCAGGACACCGATGGGGGCCCCAGCTCCCTGGGGACACGGAGGGGTGGCCGGGCAGGAGCTGCGGGCAGGGGGTGAGGTGCGGCATGGGTGAGGGGGGCACGGGCACCCCCTGGGTGCCCCCGGAGAGGGTTTGGGGGTGTGCCCGGCTGGCGTGGGGCAGTGCCCCGCGCTCCGGCTGTGTTGTCCCATGTGCCATCCACCGCGTCCCCTCCCCGGGCTGGAGCAGCATCCGGGGAGGGGCATCCCTGGGGGGCAGCAGGATGGACACACGGACACGGGCACCGGGCTGTGCCCCCCCAGCCCGCAGTGGCACCCGGGGGGTCTTTTGGGTGCTGCCAGCCCCCTGGGGACACCCGGCCGGGGATGCACTGGTTGTGGTGATGGAACCTGGTGAACATTTTGGTGCGGGGGGCTGGGGGCCCCCCGAATGTGGCGTTATCTGGGGATGGGGCACACTCCCACCCCCAGTCTGGGGTCAGCCCTTTCCCAGTGCCAGCCTGGGGGTTGCCCATCCTTCCCCCCCCCCCCGGCACCCCCTCCTGGAAAGCACAGCCGGGGTGGGGGGGCACCGCGGGGGGGTCCCCACCGAACCCACTCTCTGCTGGCAAAGGGTGCCCTTTCGGTGCCACCCCTGCCCGGCAGCCACACGGGGTGGCGTGTCGCGGGGGAGTGGCGGATCCCCGGGGGATGGCAGGTCCCCAGGGGGTGGCAGGCTGTAAATAGGGCAGGGGGCGGCGGGAGCCCCTGGGGGGGGGGGGGGCGGGGGCCCCCCCCCCCCCAGCGGCCATGCATGCGGCCGCCCGCGGGCTGTACCCCGCGGCCCCAATAAACACCCGGTTACCGGAGGCGACTCCCCCGCCGCCGCCTCGGCACCTTCTTAACCCCCCCGGGAGCTGGGACCGGCCGAGGGAGGGGGGCACAGGGCTGGGGGGCACAGGGTGGCACCCCATCCGTGGGACCCGCACAGCCCAGCGCACCCACCCCGCTCAGCCCCCCCGCGCACCCGGCCCCCCGAGGGTTCCCATCCCACTTCCCCCACGAATTCCCCCGGGACAAGGCGGTGCCCCTGCCCGTGCCACCCCACACCCGCCGTGTCCCCTTTCCTCGCCCCCCGAGGCCACCCACGGGGGTCGCCCACGGCGCTCTGTCCCCTGGCCTGAGCACCCGCAGGGGCTGGGGGACACCTGGCACCCTGAGGGGCTCTGGTGGCACGGGAACACCTGGGGTGGGGACATCTGGCAAAGGGACACTTGAAGTGGCGATACTTGGCGAGGGCACACCTGGCTTTGGGTCCCTTGGCTTGGGGACATCAGGGGTGGAGACATCTGGCGTGGGGACACCTGGGCTGGCCGCTATCGGGGTCTCCTGGAGTTGGTTCACCTGGGATGGGGACACTTGGGGAGGGTGGGGACAGCGGCCATTGAGTCCCTTGAGATGGGAACAAGTGGCAAGGGCACACGTGGCAAGGGGACACCTGCGATGGGGACACCGGGGGAGGGGATAACGGGGGCGGAGACACCTGCAGGGGGGGTGGGACGCCGGCCACGGGGGTGGGACACCGGCCACGGGGTCCCTCGGCGCGGGGACACGTGAGAGGTGACCGGGGCTCGTTCCCGCCGCTGTCCCCCCGGTGTCCCCGCACCCGCGACGAGCGCGCCCCAGCCCCAGGCCACGCCCCCGGTCACGCCCATCTATCCTGATTGGCGGAGATCCGGCCCCGCCCCTTCTCTGATTGGCTCCCACCGCTCCCCGCGGGTCCGGGCTGGGCGGGGCCCGGGGTCGCGATCTCGCCCGGGGGTCGCGACAGAACCCCACCCCCACCCCCGTGAGTACCGTGCCCGGGGCTCGGCGGGAGCGGGAGGCGGGGAGCGGGGCCGGGGGCGTCCCGGGAGGCTCCGGAAAGGCTCCGGGGGGGGGCTCCAGGTGGTCCCGGGGGGAGTCCGGAGGTCCCCGGGGGCCTCCGGGGGGTGCGGGGGAGGTCGGGGGTCCCATGGTCCCCGGAGCACCCCAGGAACACCAGAGGGACACCCCGAGAAACTCCAGGGAACAACCGAGGGTCCCAGGGGACCTGTGACCCGCCTGGAGCCCCCCGAATCCCCTCGGAGAGCACAGGGCCAGGCCGGGGGTGCTGCGGGAGACCCCAGAGGACAGAGGGGCTGCCGGGGGCCCGGGGGGCTGCCGGGGGCCAGGGGGGCTGCCGGGGCTCGGCTCCCTGCGGGGGCCGGGGGCTGCCCCGGCCGAGCGGCGGTGACGGGCGGTGACGGGCGGCACGTCCCCAACCCGGGATTGCGACAGACGAGTCCAGACTGGCTTCGCTGAATCACCCAAAAACCCCTCCCCGGCCCCAAAGGGGGTGTGGGGGACCCGGAGGAGGTAGGAGGGGTCCAAGAAGAGTTGAGGGCACCCAGTCCCCCCGTTTCCTGGCAGGGGAGGGGGCCGACACCGTCCCAAAATCCCTTTCTGACCCCCCAAAACACCCCCGAGAGCCCCTCAGAGCCCGCCAGCCACTCCCACTCGGGTCATGGGATGGTGGCTCTCAGCCCTCAGGGAGCAGGGGCTGGGGGTGCTGGGGGTGTCATCCCCAGGGGGGTCCCCACCAGCCTCACCCACCCATAGCACCCCAAAATCTCCCTCTTCCCGCTGCAGCCGCCGCTGCCATGTCGGCCGAAAACGCCGCCGTGCCGGCCGAGCCCGGGCCGGAGACGCAGGTAGGGGTGCACGGAGGGTTCGGGGGGGCCGCGGGTGGCTCTGGGGACCCCATCTTATTGTCCCCCACCCTCAGAGCGTGGTGAGCCGCGTGGCCAACCTGCCCCTGGTGAGCTGTGCCTGCGGGGCCGTGGCCTCGGCGTACGGGCGCACCAAGGAGAGGCTGCCCTGCGTGCGCTCCGTGTGCCACGCTGCCGAGAAGGGCGTGAGGACACTGACAGCGGCAGCAGTGAGCGGGGCCCAGCCCCTCCTCACCCGCCTGGAGCCCCAGAGTGAGTGTGGGGAGGGGGAACAGCACCCCACGGGGCTGGGGGAACCCAAAACTGGCTCTCACCGAGCTCTCGTGAGGAACCAGGAGAGGGAGGATCTGGTTTCACACCTCCAGTTTGTATCGGCAATGAATAAACGGCTGGAGAAGCTGGAGGGTTGGAGGGGAAACGCCCCACAAGTTTTGGGGTACCCCAAAACGCTGCCCTGGCAGAGCTCCTGCAAGGCAGCAGGGTGCTAAAGCCACCTCTCTTCACATCTCCAGTTTCCACCGCCAACAAGTTCGCCTGCAAAGGGCTGGACAAGCTGGAGGAGAAGCTGCCCCTCCTGCAGCAGCCCCCCGAGAGGGTAACGCCACCCGGGGGGCACGGGCAGGGCCCGGCGCTGGGCGAGGAGCGGGGACGAGCTGTCCTTGTGCTGTCCCCTGCCAGGTGGTGGCCGGGACCAGGGAGCTGGTGTCGTGCACGGTGAGCGGGGTGGCAGCGAGGACGCGCTCGGCGCTCGGGGCCGTGGTGGGCACCCGCGTGGGGCGGCTGCTGGCCACGGGCGTGGACGCCGTGCTGGGCAAGTCAGAGGAGCTGCTGGATCGGTACCTCCCCGGGGAGGATGAGGAGCTGGGTGAGTGCCCACCATCTCCCAAATCTCGGGGTGCCAGGCCCTCCTGGGACCCTCACCCTTGTAGCTCGGTCTTGGCATTGGCCGCACATGGTGGCCCCACAGTGGTGCCAGAGCGCTGAGGCCACCGTGACCCCACGCAGGGGACAGTCCCTGTCTGAAGGACGTGGATGGCTCTGGGTGAACTCTCACCTGGAAACCCAAGAGCAAATATAGTCCCGTGTGCCCGCCTGGGTATTTATAGCTTGGCACTGGGTGACATTAGGCAGAGCTGGCCCCATGTCACAGCTGAGGTGACCGCAGAGGTCACCTGGCGCTTGGGGTGGCATCTCCACATGACCTGGTGGCCAAGCATCCTGTGGGTGCTCACGCTGGGCTCCAGTGCCCAGCACAGGATGGCCCAGCCACGCTGCCCTCACCCCTGGTCCCACAGCAGCGGCAGCAGGCACGGAGGTGACCACAGGCACGGAGGTGACCACGGGCATGGAGATCACGAGGGGCATGGAGGTGGCCACAGGCACAGAGGTGACCACGGGCACGGAGGTGACCAGGGACATGGAGGTGACCAGGGACATGGAGGTGACCAGGGACATGGAGGTGACCAGGGACATGGAGGTGACCAGGGACATGGAGGTGACCAGGGACATGGAGGTGACCAGGGACATGGAGGTGACCAGGGACATGGAGGTGACCAGGGACATGGAGGTGACCAGGGACATGGAGGTGGCCACGGGCACAGAGGTGACCAGGGACACGGAGGTGGCCACGCAGGAGCGGCAGAGGCGGTGGCAGAGCTACTTTGTCCGCGTGGGCTCCCTGACAGCCAGGCTGCCACACCGGGCCCTGCGGCGCTCGCTGGGGGACCTGCAGCGGGCACGGCTCCGTGCCCAGCGGCTCCTGGCCCAGCTCCACCACGTCATCCGGCTGGTAAGGATGGGGCAGGGACCGTGCCAGCCCCGTGCCGGCCCCAGGCACCCCCAGGTGTGCTCCCACCTGGCTGAACCTCCCCCCAGATCGAGGAGGGGCAGCAGGGCACGGACGGGCCCTGGCACAGCACCCGGGAGCACCTGCACCACCTGTGGCTGGAGTGGAGCCAGCAGGATGCGGTGCCCATGGAGGACAACGAGGTACGGCGTGGAGGGACCGTGGGGGACAGATGGCTCCATCTGGAGAGGGTGGGGACAGCAGCCATTGAGTCCCTTGAGGTGGGGACACGTGGCAAGGGGACACCTGGGGTGGTGACACCTGGAGCAGGGGTGGAGCAGCAGCCACGGAGTCCAGCTGTGGGTCCATCCAGCTGTGGGTCCATCCAGCTGTGGTCCATCCAGCTGTGGGTCCGTCCAGCTGTGGGTCCATCCAGCTGTGGTCCATCCAGCTGTGGGTCCATCACCCCCAGCCCCCCTGCCCACCCCGCAGGTGGAGGCTCGGACTCTGGCCATGCTCCACGGGCTCCTGCACCAGCTCCACGCCGCCTGCTCCCACCTGGCCACCGGCGCCCGGGCGTTCCCCAGCAGCGTGCAGGAGACGGCGGGACACGTCCGGCACGGCGTGGAGGGCGTCCAGGCTTCCCTGGCCAGCGCCCGCTCCTTCCAGGACCTGTCGGGGCTGGTGCTGGCGCAGAGCCGGGACGCCGTGACGCGGGCACAGCTGAGCCTGGAGGGGCTGCTGGAGCACGTGGGGCAGCACACGCCCCTGCCCTGGCTCGTGGGACCTTTCGCCCCCGCGCTCGTGGAGTACCCGGAGGATGTCCCGGTGGATATGTCCAAGTGGGAGGGCTGTGTCACCGTGGGGGGGACGCACCAGGTGCCCGCTGCCCGCCGGGTCTGCAGCCAGCACTGAGTCACTGGCGCCGCACCCACCCAGAGGCACGGACCCCAATCCCACCGGGAGTGAGGGGATGATGGACCCGGTGACCCGGCGTGGGACCCCAGCGTCACGGCCGGGGACTCCTGTGGGGATGGTGGCACGTGGAGGACACGGTGTGAGTCTTGTCTGGGATCCAGCGCTGCCCTAAGCCCCGGGAATACTGGAATTTCATGTCTTAACAGCTTCAAACCAGTTTAAAGAGGAAGAAAACAACTTTTTTGGCCTTAAAATGACTCAGAGCCTACAGTGCTGTGGCAGAGCCACCGTGCCGGGCTCACCGGGGGGCTCTGCACGGGCGGCAGAGCCGGGGGGCTCAGTAAGGGGGTGCCAGGGTGGGACAATGGGACGGGATTCCACGGGCTACTGGGAGAGAGGGTGCCACAAGGTGCCAGGACATCTGGACTGTGACCCGCAGCCGTGTGGCACTGAACTTTGTCCCACTTGTCACCGTGGAGGGGCTGGGCCTGCCCCGGGATATCCCCGACGTCACAAACACAGCGTGGTCACAGCACCCGGTGGGACGACACCGGGCACCCCAGGACCGTCCATCGTCCCGCCGCCGGAACACACCGGGGCCAGCTGGACCAATTCCACCGGGCCAGGTGCGGGGGAGCACCGGGACCCCCGTGCTTGGGAGCCGCACGAGGGGAGGGGACGCTCGGGAGGGTCGGGGCCGGGTCTGTCCCGGGGGATCGGTGCCTCGGGGGGTCTCTAGTTCCGGGCTCGGGGTGTCACTGCAGCCGGATCCCGGGGAATCGCGTCGGTGTGCACCGGTCCCGGGGTGTCCGTGCAGCCCAGTCCCGGGGGATCCGGTACCGGGGAGGGGGGTCAGTGCAGCACCGACCGAGGAATGGGGTCCCGGGGGGCTCAGCGCAGCCCAGTCCCGGCGGTTCCGGTGCCGGGCCGGGGACTCGGTGCAGGCGGTTCCCGGGAGTTCGCTGCCCTCCCGGCCCCGCGCTCCCCGCCGGTCGCTGCTCCCGGTCCGCCCCGGGCCGGCCCCGCGGGGCGGCTCCGGTCACATGCGCTCGGGGCGGGCTCGGGGGTATAAAGGGCGGCGGGGAGGAGCGGGGCGAGCCCGGAGCCGAACCGAGAGCAGCAGAGCCGACCCCAGCGCCAGCGGTGAGCACGACCCGGGGCCGGCCCGCGATCCTGGTTCCGATCCCGGTTGCGATCCCAGTTCCGGTTCCGATCCCGATCGCGATCCCGGTTCCGATCGCAAACTCGGTCCTGTTCCCGATCGCGATCCCCGTCCTGTTCCCGATGGCAATCCCGGTCCCGGTCCCGATCGCGACCCCGGTCCCGATCCCGCCTGTGATCCCGATCGTGATCCCGGTCCCGGTCCCCGGGACCCCCCTGTCCCGGGATTTCCCAACCGCGTGGGAGCTGCCCCGTCCCGGGGAGCGGTAACTTGGGATCCTCCCTTCGAGAGGCAGGAGGGGGGCGCTGGGGGGGCTGACCCCACTCACGGTCCCGTCCTGTGCCCCCAGCCCACCATGGCCACCAGCGAGCCCACGCCGGCGCAGCCCAAGGCAGAGGAGCAGCAGGTCAGTGCGGGCAAGGCGGGGAATTTGGGGGCAACCCACGGGGTCCCTGCTTGGAGACGGGGATCGGGGTTATCCCACCCTCCGATGGGCTTGGAGCGCCGCGGGAGCACCCCAACACCACCCCCGGGGTGTTGGGAACACCCAACACACCCGATTCCCTGTGAGATTTGGGGGTCCCTCACGCTCACGCTGAGCCCTTCCGGCCCCCAGAGCATCGGGACACGCGTGGCCAACCTGCCCCTGGTGAGCTCTGCTTACGACATGGTGTCCTCCGCCTACACCTGCACCAAGGAGAGCCACCCCTACGTGCGGAGCGTCTGCGATGCTGCCGAGAAGGGCGTGAGGACACTGACAGCGGCAGCAGTGAGCGGGGCCCAGCCCCTCCTCACCCGCCTGGAGCCCCAGAGTGAGTGTGGGGAGGGGGAACAGCACCCCACGGGGCTGGGGGAACCCAAAACTGGCTCTCACCGAGCTCTCGTGAGGAACCAGGAGAGGGAGGATCTGGTTTTGTGTCTCTGGTTTGTTTTGTGTCTCTCTTCCAGCTGGAGAAGCTGGAAGAAAAGATGTGGGGGCAGCACCTCCTGAATTTTGGGGTGATGGACAATAGGCCCTGGCAGAGCTCCTGCAAGGCAGCAGGGTGCTAAACCCACCTTTTTCCATCTCCAGTTTCCACCGCCAATGAATTTGCCTGCAAAGGGCTGGACAAGCTGGAGGAGAAGCTGCCCCTCCTGCAGCAGCCCCCCCAGAAGGTACCGGGCTGGGCCAGGCTGGGCTGGGCAGCACACTCGGGGCCCCCCAGTGCTTAACAGAGGTTTGTGTGTCCATCCAGATCATCTCAGACACCAAACTGCTGGTGACCTCCACGGTGACGGGGGCCAGGGATGTGCTGACCAGCACGGTGGCCGGAGCCAAGGATGCAGTGTCCAGTCGAGTGACCGGGGCCAAGGATGCAGTGTCCAGCACTGTGGCCGGAGCCAAGGATGCAGTGTCCAGCACTGTGGCCGGAGCCAAGGATGCAGTGTCCAACACTGTGTCCGGAGCTAAGGATGCAGTGTCCAGCACTGTGGCCGGAGCCAAGGATGCAGTGTCCAGCACTGTGGCCGGAGCTAAGGATGCAGTGTCCAGCACTGTGGCCGGGGCCAAGGATGCAGTGTCCAGCACTGTGGCCGGAGCCAAGGATGCAGTGTCCAACACTGTGTCCGGAGCTAAGGATGCAGTGTCCAGCACTGTGGCCGGAGCCAAGGATGCAGTGTCCAGCACTGTGGCCGGGGCCAAGGATGCAGTGTCCAGCACTGTGGCCGGGGCCAAGGATGCAGTGTCCAGCACTGTGGCCGGGGCCAAGGATGCAGTGTCCAGCCGAGTGACCGGCGTGATGGACATGACCAAAGGGGCAGTGCAGGGTGGCGTGGAGCTGACCAGGTCTGCGGTCAGCAGCGGCGTCAGCACCGTGGGCCAGATGGTGGCCAGCGGGGTGGACTCCGTGCTGGGCAAGTCGGAGGAGCTGGTGGACCATTACCTGCCCATGACAGATGAGGAGCTGGGTGAGAAGCTGATCCCAACCCTCCGGGGAGGGTGGGCAGAGCCTGGGCAGCGCAGGGGAGGCTCTGTGGGGTGGTGATGGTGGTGCTGGGACCCCCTAAGCAGCTCCTGTCCCACAGCCAAGCTGGCCACGGCCGTGGAGGGCTTCGAGCCGGAGCAGCAGAGGCAGCAGCAGAGCTACTTCGTGCGCCTGGGCTCCCTCTCCACCAAGGTGCGGCACCGGGCGCTCCAGCACTCCCTGGGCAAACTGCAGAGCGCCCGCCAGAGCAGCCAGGACCTGCTGGCCCAGCTCCAGCGCACCCTCGACCTGGTAGGACCCAGCCCCCCGCCCCCTGTGCCACCCCGGGGTGTCCCCCGGTGCCCCCCCAACCCAGCCGGGCTGTGCCCCTCTCCCAGGTGGAGCAGCTGAAGCAGGGCATGGACCAGAGGCTGCAGGGAGGGCAGGAGAAGCTGCAGCAGCTGTGGCTGGAGTGGAGCAAGAAGCAGCCGGGCAGTGGCAAGGACCAGGCGCCGCCGGAGGTAGGAGCAGGGCAGGGGGTCCCCAGGGTGAGCCGGGGTGTCCCCCAGGCCTCACCCCCTGTGTCCCCCCACAGGCGGTGGAGTCGGGCACGCTGACCATGCTGCAGGGCTTGAGCCAGCAGCTGCAGAGCTCCTGCCAGCCCTTGGTGTCCAGCCTGCAGGGCCTCCCCAGCACCGTGCAGGACACGGCGGGGCAGGTCCGGCAGAACGTGGAGGAGCTGCAGGCGGCGCTGGCCTCTGTCACCTCCCTGCAGGACGTGACGGGCCCCGTGCTGGCCCAGGCCCGCAGCCACGCCACCAAAGCCCGGCAGCTGATGGACGAGCTGGTGGAGCACGTGTCCTTCAACACCCCCCTGACGTGGCTGGTGGGACCCTTCGCCCCCTCGGGCAAGCGCCCGGTGGAGCTGGAGATGGAGTAGCAATTCCGGGCTGCTCCCCTCCCCAAAAAGCCTCGTTAGGAGCCTTTGCCAAACCCCCCCAGCCCCCCTCACCCCTCACCTTGTGCCTGTGCCTGTGGGGACCCTCCTGCCTGCCCCAGCTCTGTCCCCTTGCTGGAGACCTGCAGTTACGTGCCTTGGCTGCCCCAAGTGCCTCTTGGGGGTCCCCCACGTCCTCGGTGCCTTCAAACCCCCACCCTTGTAGGGTCAAAACAGCACAAGAAACAATAAACTCTGGGTAGTTTTGCACTGGGCTGCGGTTTCTTTGGGGGTGTGGGAGGGAGGAACTGGGCTCTGGAGGAACAACCCCCTCCCCAAGACCTGGGGACCCCCATGTCCTGTCCTGAGCCCCCACTGCCCTGCCAGCCCCCCCAGCCTGTCCCTGTCCCCGTGGGAGCAGGGTGGGAGGAGAGGAGCTGGAGTGGGATCAGGAGTGGGGTCCTGGAGGGGACCTCCCACTTCCCAGCAGTTGGGCAAGAGGCACTGGGCATGGTTTGGGCTTTATTTGGGTCTTGTTTACCGAGTGAGTGTGAAATCAGTGCTGGAAAAAGGAAAGCGTCCCCAGGGCAGAGTTACTGCAGCCTGCGAGGGGGAGTCGGGGCATCCTCCCCCGGGGGTCGGCACAAAGAGCAGGGTGGGGCCGGGAGTTCTTTATTGGACACGGACAAAAGCCCTGGAGCTTTGCAACACAGCAAAGACCAACACTGAGCTGCTGCCCAGCACGGGCACGATGGTGCCAGGGTCGGTCCCTCCCTGGCACAGTCAGGAGAGAACACACCCTTTTACCCTTATTTTACCCCAGGTTGGTGCCCAGCCCTGCTGCCACCCCTGGGGCAGAGGGATCCGGCTCCAGCAGCTGCCCCTGGATGGAGAGAGGATTGTGATGGTGGGGAAAGGGGCTTGGAGCAGCCCCTGAGTGCCTGATCCTGGTCAGAGGGAATTTGGGGACCCATGGGGTGCTCTCCAGCCCTGACCCTGGGCAGGGGGTTCAGGTTCTCCCCTCGTCCCAGCCAGAGATGCCTCAAGAAAGAGACACTGGGGTTCCTTCTGTTTTTCATTAGAAAACCCTTTATATTCATTTCATGTCGGTTGAAATCACAAGAAATTAGGTAGGAGGGGAAAAAAAAAAAACAACAAAACAAAACAAAAATTAAAAACAGGGGGGAGGGGGACAAATACAGACACCAGCAC